TCATTTTTTTGACGTGATCAGAAAAAAAATACGCCTTTACAATGTCCGTTGTAAGCATAGTGGCTTGTTTATAGAAACAAACGATTTGATCTTTTTTTTTTGTTAAAATTGTAACTGAATTCGATATTTGTTTTACTTTGGCCCTCACAAACTCAATATCATCCATTGTGAGGCCAGCATAACATGTTCTAGCTGTTAAAAAATCTATATACAAAACAATCGACGAAAGCTTTGAAATAAGGGTTCGCGGTTAAATATGTGAGCTCTGTCATGAGCAGCGACTGCTGCTCTTTAAATATTTGAATTAAAGGAGCAGCATAAAAATCCTCTAACAAGTTGGCATCAGCCAACAGACACTTTGGCACAGTTTTTATTTTTGGATCTATTTTTTGCCAAATATACACAACGTCAGAGGAGTGGTTTGATGCCCATAAATGTTAAATAGACATAATAATTATTCAACATTTTGTTTATAAAATGATTGTTTACCATTCTCGTTGTAATGTTTAGAAAACCTTAAGTATCGCCTAAAGTCTAATATAGCGTTCATACCGGTGTCATAAAGATATTTAAATAATACATTAGCAATTCTAAAGGTTTTTTTATCGAACGCAGTTAATTCTGAAGCATGTTGCAACACAGCAACGCCTTTCACGCGACTAAGATTTGCATCGTGCTTTCCTAAATAATAATTAGAAATTAATATAAAAAATTGATGTAATTTAAAAAGTTACACCTTATAAAACAATAATAAGTAAGTGTAAGCAAAAACCTCTTTTAGCAAACTTCTTGCTCGGTTATCGACAGGGTTAACTACACCACTGAATTGTTGAGATAAAATATCTTCTAAACGAAAAATGTTTTATTTTCGTTTTTACAAAAATAAAAGAAATTTAAAAAAATTAAAGTGCTACAACACTAACCATCTTCAATTTCATCATTTTCTTCAACTTCAGATACAATTGGCAAAACGCTGGAAGGCCTGCTTTCAGGAATCAGAGGTTTGGTACGGACATAAACCGCCATTTTATTAATAAAATCAACAGTGTTTTTTTTTTTTTTTTTTGAAAACTTTAGTATTTCTTTCATGTCGTCACCATAAAAAAAAACGTTAGTGTATTAAAATAGAACATTCAAAACAATATTTCAATATAAAGATCATAGATAAACCTTCTACGAGTATACTCATGCTGTTTTATCAGGTAGATGTCCAACCTGTCATGGAATTCGTTGCAGCTTGAGCAGAGCAACGTCCAAGGCTTATTTTGAACAATCTAAATAAATATTAGAGTTAATAACTTTTTGAGTAATAGTTTAATTTTGTTTAATTAGCAAAAACAAAAAAGATTATACTTTTGTAAAATGATTGTAATGCCGAACATAGTAGGAGGCAAGCTGCTTTGCTTCATTATCTTTTACTTTGTGTTTTGAGACTAAGTGTCTCCGCAACCTTGTCGTATGCGTACGACAATTATCTTTAGAACACCTTACTCTATACTCATTTCTGGTTCCAACCCGCACATACTTTACCTAATAAACACAATTTAAATTACAAACATTCTTTAACATTATTACTTATTTATAAAAAATCAGAAAATACTTACTTTGTTAACATCACCAAATGTGAATGTTAACTCTTCTCTAATTTCTTTCATGCGCTTTTTAAATTCTCTCTTGCTTGCTGCCTTGCTTTCTTCAAAACAATGCTGTTTTAATAGAAGATCCACTGGCATGTTTGGATGGTAATTCGATTGACCGATGTACAGGGAGTTTAAGATTGACCGTGCACGTTCAGGATTTATATTTTGTGTAAGCTGATCGCAATCTGATTGGTCAGATTGTTCAGAATTGTTAGAGGGTTGATATTTTTTTCGACTTACACTTTTATTTGTTAGGGTTTAGGGGACTAGGTGGATCTACATCAAGGTCAAGGGTTAGGGCTGTTATCAAGCGGTTCTTCTATGCTTTCCACAGAGTCCGATAACTCGTTGTCAGGGTCAGACATAGACTCGCTTGCTGATTCGTCAGGCTTTGCACTTGCAATGTTAATCATAGTACTTATAACTGTAGACTTTTCTTGAAATTTAAGTTTTTTATTTTTCAACAAAACCTCTGTTAATGTCTTTATTTGTTCTGATAACAGGCACTCTTTACAAAGTTTTTTGTTTAAAAATTTTTTTAGAAGAATTGCAATTCATACACAGAGTATCCATTGTTGTTATATAAATCTAAGTGCAATTCAAAATAAATTTATTTTTTATTAAACGTCATAATCATACACTTATAAATGTTAGTTTATAAAAATTATTTAATAAAGTGTCAAATTAAAAAAATACTTACCATTAACTTAAAAAATAGAGTATAAATAAATATAACAAATTATTAAACATCAAAAAATATATAATACCTACCACCACATAATACCAACACAGTGAGTACCAGAACTAAAAAAGACGTTTTTTAGATATAACAAGAAGAGGTTGAAGGTTTGCTGCAATATTAAAATAATTTATAGAAATAATACAAAAAATACAAACAAGAAAAGCTTATTAAAGTAGAGAAACCTGGGAAATTCTCTTCTGCAATTTCCATATCTAAGAAATTGCTAAGTTCCTGATCGTCGTATTTTACCCCAGGAAATTCTGTTGCAATTTTTTTGGTATTGCTACTCACCCAATCTAAACATATTTGAAAGCATAAACATCATTTAAAAATAATTAAACATGTCTCTTACACCTTTTAAACTTTTAATCTTCTAAACTTCTTAACATTTAAACTTTTAAACTTTTAGACTAACTTTTAACATCTGTTGGAGTCGGCTTCATTTTTAGTGCATTTCTGAGCACTTCAGACTGAGAACCGACTCTCCCACTGTGAAGAGCGGCCGTTCTTAAAGCAAATCTTGCAACATAAAACTTTAAAGTCGTGGTTGGTTTATTCTTCATATAGTTCTATAAGTTATATAATTAAAAAGGAGTTATATTTTTTTGAAAAAACTACTTTCAAGTACAAACAAAAAAAAGAATTATAAACTTACGCGACCAAAACTGTCAACATTTTCATCTCCTATTCCACACATTTCAGTTGCAATGGATACCCGAATTTTTGTAGGACATACTCTATTGTTATTAAATTCGCCATCGCTGTTTAATAAGAACTTTGAATTCCTAAATGATGTACTCATTCCGTTTGCTATCGCGGAATGGGTGAGTACATCTGAGCGACTAGATGTAAATAATGGACTTTCTAACAACTCCCTTATTTTGATGGTGTTACGATAATATTTGATGAACTTAAAATTTCATTTTTTAGAGTTGTATCAACTAGAATAACTTTATTTCCGTAAAGCATACTTGATTTATAAATTTGATTTTCAATAACAAACCCGTTTTCAATTTCATCACTGGGTGTTATGTTAAAGACGTCCTTTAGTGAAATTGAAATTATATTTGAAGACCGAGTTGCATTCACTAAGCGAATTGTTATCATCAGATAATCTCTAATATCAATGCACTAGGTCTTTGTAAGCTGTTTATTAGCACACAAATTTTCTGATGATTTTATGTGCGCCGAATCAAAATACGCTTTAACAATGTCCGTTGTTAAAACAGTAGCCTGTTTATATATTCGCATATTTTGGTCTCTTTTTTATTGATAAGCAAAGAGTTTTTTTGTTAATTAAACAAAGAGTCGATAATTTCTTCGTCGATAAAATCCTTTCTTATATTTTATACTTTAATAATTTCTTAGTCGATAAAATCCTCTTCTGAAATTCTATTTTGCAAATTGACTCACTTTCTTTAGAGCAATGCTGTTTTAATAAGAGTTTTACTCGGTTGTTGGGGTGATAATTCGAGTGTCCTACGTAAAGGGAGTTCAACACCGTACTAGTTCGTTCCGTATTCATATTACACGTCAATTGTTCGTTATCTGATTGATCAGATTCATCGTCAGAGGTTTTTGAGGCTTTTTGAATTCGACCTTTCAGGGATAGATTTATAGGAGAGGGCGGGACAACATCTTTCAGGGTAGAGCTGATCCTCTATCGAATGGATGTATCACATGTGACGGCTGCTGTATGGTTTGTCTCTAATTAACGTTTTTCTGAAGTAGCCCTTCGCTTTTTTGCATTTGTTTTTTCAAGATTAGAGACAAACTATAGTGTTCTATCCGATTCTTTGTGCTGCATTGTACTTACCGTTAAATTTTCTATCGAAATCATGTATAATACATGGCATTTGAAATATTGACCATTTTCCTGAAGGTACCATCAGTTAAAAGTGGTCAAAAAATGATCAGGTAAAAGTGGTCAAAAAATGATCTTTGAGATTGCCATATGGTATACATCATTTTGATAGAAAATTTAACTGCGAGTTTAACGGCGCAAACCGTTTTGACGCTTGTTGCATAGTTTGTCTATAAATCGAGTTTTTGCGATGTTTCCTCCCTTCCCCCTTCCTCCTGGTTTTTTCGAAGTTTTTACCAAATTAAAGACAAACTGCACAGCGGCCGTGCAAAGCGTTTGCGTTGTTATACTCGTCGTTGAATTCTTTGTCGACATGATGTACGATATCTTTTTACGTAAAACAAATAAAATCTTGGTTAAGGAACAGTTAAATGCTAGCGTTTATTCCTTTCAATTTTTTTTAATCGCGGGCTGCTCAAAGCTTGTCCACAGTTAAACAAATTTGGCTCCGTGTTTATGATTTTCTTTGTTTATGTCTTCTATACGAATTTTTGGAGTTTATTATAAAAACAGAAAGTCAGGGTTAGAACACCTCGTTAGATTAAAAACCTAATATAACCTAAAAAATATAATTATATTTTTAATTATAAGAGTTGTTTACGTCGTTAACAGAACAATATTTGTAATTTGAAATATAAATATATAGAATCTATAAACTTTACAAATAGCTATGCTATTAAAAACAAAAAGATTTAAAAACTAATATAATAAGTTAAATTGCTATTCTTTTAAAGCACAAATCCTTGTAAAAACGTAAACAAAACAGGTTTATTCAAATATAAGTAAATTAACAAAACACAGTTATTTTCCTTGAGTACTTCTTAGTGCTCTCATTATACTTCTAGCTTCTGCTACGAAGTTGCTGAAGTTTGAGTTTTTATTTTGTTTATACTTGTTGTGCATATTCTTAAGGATCCATCGAATGCCTTCCCATTCAATGTCGCTGTAAAGGTCTAACAAAAAAGACGATTCTTGGAGCTTTACTTCCTCGTCTCTCCAAACTGTAAAGAAAACAGTTTAAGAATTCAAATATACCAAAGGTTTCAAATATACCTTATGATAATAAAGTTCAAAGTAAATTTATTGTGTAAGGTTATCTAACTTACATTCACGTGTAATCTCACCAGTCATTATTAGTCGTTCACCGACCAATGCAATTGCTAAAAGCGATGAACGACTGTTCTTGGAACTTCTTGTTTTGTAGAAGTCGTTGGATTGAGGTTTATCATACACTAATGAAAATAGAAAAGTATATATTATTATAGTTTAAATTATGTTCTATTTAATAAACTTTTTTGTATATTTTATAGATTTTTATAAAATTATAGTTATGTAAAATAACCCTTTATAATATCCGCTTTTGTCATTCTTAATAAAACGTGATGATCATCAATCAAATCGCTATGATCTACTATAAACATGAGTAAGTTAAAATAAAATTAACAATACTAAAATGGAAATGAATTTAAAACAATAATAAATAAATATATTACCTTCAACAACGTCAGCAATGCTTTCTATTTCACCTTAAAATGTTATATAATATTTAGATAGATGTTATTCAGAAAGACGATATGCATTTTATATTAAAAAAAATATTTTATTTACATTATGACACAACCGAAGCTGCTTTTCCCTTAACCACAATTATATCGTCACATTTCTTATCTAAATATATTTTTATACGTTCAGTTATATAATAAATATTTTTAGTACTATTTTTTTATACATAGGACTTAACTTTGTACATAACTTTTACACACGAATGCAGTTTATTATATGGATGTATAAAAGTAATGTTTTTTCTGTACCATGCAATCCTGAAATTTGTAATCCTTTTTGAAAGTCTCCATCATCTAAAACAAATACATGGTTTTTAAAATCACATACAAGTTACAAAAATATATGTAAAGCGAGTCAGTAAACAATATATCTAACTAAAACTACCTTCGCTATTATCCTCAATAATTCGGATCTTTTTCTTTTTTGGCAATTCTGACGAGGCTTTAAGAGACCAAATCTTATCTTAAAAAAAAATGTAAATGCTCTAACACTAATCTTCTCATAAAGTGAATATTTGAATAATTTGTTAAAATTTTATACCAGATACTTCATTACAAGAGCATTGACCTGTCGGTTTTTTGTTGGTTTCAGTTTGATCGGACGTTTCTTAAAAAAATGTAAAGCTGTTAGGTATTTGTAAAGTATCTTTAAAAAAAAAATAATAATACTCATACTTAGATTTAAAAGACAACCTGGTAATGTTTCATCCGCAATTTCCATCTCTAAAAAATTGCACAGCTCCTGGTCGACGTAACTCGTCCCGGGGAATTCTTTTTCTATTGTTCTACTGTTTTTGCCAACCCAATCTGAAAAAAAATGAAATTGAAAAACTTAAAAGTGTTTACCTAGCCCTATGCATAATTAATAAATTATTGTGATAAGTTATAAAACAAATTTTTACACAAAAAACAAACAAGCATATATTTTTATTATGTCAACATAGGATAAAAATCTACGTTTGTTTTCTTACTTAACTTTAACATCGGAAGGTGTGGGTTTTACTTCCAGGACATTTCGTAGTACATCAAATTGAGTTCCTACTTTCCAGCTATGAAGGGCGGCAGTTCTCAGAGCAAATCGGGCCAAGTAAAACTTCAGTGTTGTAGTTGTTTTGTTTTTCATGTAGCTCTGTAAATTGCATGATCATATTGTAATAAAGAAATTTTTCATATAATATTATTGACCTAAATAAAAAATATACCTACACGAGCAAACCTGTCGACGTTCTCGTCACCCAGACCACACATTTCGGTGGCAATACTAATTTTGATTTTTGTCGGACAGACGCGATCGTTGTTAAACTCACTATCAATATCCAGGAGGGCTTTAGATTTTCTAAAAGATGTGCTCATCCCGTTAGCAATTGCGGAATGAGTAAGCACATATGACCTGCTGGAGATAAACACTGGGTCCTTTGAGGAACATCCAATTTTACTTTTATTTTTACTTCGGTAACACTTGATGTACATCATTACCTCATCTCTTAGAGTTTCATCGAGAAGTATTACTTTGTTTCCATACTGGCAACTTGGCTATTTCCTGGCTATTTCCATACTGGTAATCTGGCTTTTTCTGGCTGGGCACCATTTTATTAACGTCTCCAATTGATATTGATATCAGATTGGAGGAACGTGTGGCGTTCACCAAGCAGATCATCACCATCAAATAATCGATACACCCAGTTTTACTGAGAGTATTATTTGTTAAGAGTGGTTTTCTCATTTTTTTGACGTGCTCAGAAGAAAAATACGCCTTTACAATGTCCGTTGTGAGCATGGTGGCTTGTTTATAGATACGGACATTTTGATCTTTTTTTTTTTGTTAAAAATTGTAACTGAATTCGATATTTGTTTTACTTTGGCCCTCACAAACTCAATATCATCCATTGTGAGGCCAGCATAACATGTTCTAGCTGTTAAAAAATCTATATACAAAACAATCGACGAAAGCTTTGAAATAAGGGTTCGCGGTTGGATATGTGAGCTCTGTCATAGGCAGCGACTGCTGCTCTTTAAATATTTGAATTAAAGGAGCAGCATAAAAATCCTCTAACAAGTTGGCATCAGCCAACAGACACTTTGGCACAGTTTTTATTTTTGGATCTACTTTTTGCCAAATATACACAACGTCAGAGGAGTGGTTTGATGCCCCTAAATGTTAAATAGACATAATAATTATTCAACATTTTGTTTATAAAATGATTGTTTACCATTCTCGTTGTAATGTTTAGAATACCTTAAGTATCGCCTAAAGTCTAATATAGCGTTCATACCGGTGTCATAAAGATATTTAAATAATACATTAGCAATTCTAAAGGTTTTTTTATCGAACGCAGTTAATTCTGAGGCATGTTGCAACACAGCAACGCCTTTCACGCGACTAAGATTTGCATCGTGCTTTCCTAAATAATAATTAGAAATTAATATAAAAAATTGATGTAATATAAAAAGTTACACCTTATAAAACTATAATAAGTAAGTGTAAGCAAAAACCTCTTTTAGCAAACTTCTTGCTCGGTTATCGACAGGGTTAACTACACCACTGAATTGTTGAGATAAAATATCTTCTAAACGAAAAATGTTTTATTTTCGTTTTTACAAAAATAAAAGAAATTTAAAAAAATTAAAGTGCTACAACACTAACCATCTTCAATTTCATCATTTTCTTCAACTTCAGATACAATTGGCAAAACGCTGGAAGGCCTGCTTTCACGAATCAGAGGTTTGGTACGGACATAAACCGCCATTTTATTAATAAAATCAACAGTGTTTTTTTTTTTTTTTTGAAAACTTCAGTATTTCTTTCATGTCGTCACCATAAAAAAAAACGTTAGTGTATTAAAATAGAACATTCAAAACAATATTTCAATATAAAGATCATAGATAAACCTTCTACGAGTATACTCATGCTGTTTTATCAGGTAGATGTCCAACCTGTCATGGAATTCGTTGCAGCTTGAGCAGAGCAACGTCCAAGGCTTATTTTGAACAATCTAAATAAATATTAGAGTTAATAACTTTTTGAGTAATAGTTTAATTTTGTTTAATTAGCAAAAACAAAAAAGATTATACTTTTGTAAAATGATTGTAATGCCGAACATAGTAGGAGGCAAGCTGCTTTGCTTCATTATCTTTTACTTTGTGTTTTGAGACTAAGTGTCTCCGCAACCTTGTCGTATGCGTACGACAATTATCTTTAGAACACCTTACTCTATACTCATTTCTGGTTCCAACCCGCACATACTTTACCTAATAAACACAATTTAAATTACAAACATTCTTTAACATTATTACTTATTTATAAAAAATCAGAAAATACTTACTTTGTTAACATCACCAAATGTGAATGTTAACTCTTCTCTAATTTCTTTCATGCGCTTTTTAAATTCTCTCTTGCTTGCTGCCTTGCTTTCTTCAAAACAATGCTGTTTTAATAGAAGATCCACTGGCATGTTTGGATGGTAATTCGATTGACCGATGTACAGGGAGTTTAAGATTGACCGTGCACGTTCAGGATTTATATTTTGTGTAAGCTGATCGCAATCTGATTGGTCAGATTGTTCAGAATTGTTAGAGGATTGATATTTTTTTCGACTTACACTTTTATTTGTTAGGGTTAGGGGACTAGGTGGAACTACATCAAGGTCAAGGGTTAGGGCTGTTATCAAGCGGTTCTTCTATGCTTTCCACAGAGTCCGATAACTCGTTGTCAGGGTCAGACATAGACTCGCTTGCTGATTCGTCAGGCTTTGCACTTGCAATGTTAATCATAGTACTTATAACTGTAGACTTTTCTTGAAATTTCAGTTTTTTATTTTTCAACAAAACCTCTGTTAATGTCTTTATTTGTTCTGATAACAGGCACTCTTTACAAAGTTTTTTGTTTAAAAATTTTTTTAAAAGAATTGCAATTCATACACAGAGTATCCATTGTTGTTATATCAATCTAAGTGCAATTCAAAATAAATTTATTTTTTAATAAAACGTCATAATCATACACTTATAAATGTTAGTTTATAAAAATAATTTAATAAAGTGTCAAATTAAAAAAATACTTACCATTAACTTAAAAAATAGAGTATAAATAAATATAACAAATTATTAAACATCAAATAATATATAATACCTACCACCACATAATACCAACACAGTGAGTACCAGAACTAAAAAAGACGTTTTTTAGAAATATAACAAGAAGAGGTTGAAGGTTTGCTGCAATATTAAAATAATTTATAGAAATAATACAAAAAATACAAACAAGAAAAGCTTATTAAAGTAGAGAAACCTGGGAAATTCTCTTCTGCAATTTCCATATCTAAGAAATTGCTAAGTTCCTGATCGTCGTATTTTACCCCAGGAAATTCTGTTGCAATTTTTTTGGTATTGCTACTCACCCAATCTAAACATATTTGAAAGCATAAACATCATTTAAAAATAATTAAACATGTCTCTTACACCTTTTAAACTTTTAATCTTCTAAACTTCTTAACATTTAAACTTTTAAACTTTTATACTAACTTTTAACATCTGTTGGAGTCGGCTTCATTTTTAGTGCATTTCTGAGCACTTCAGACTGAGAACCGACTCTCCAACTGTGAAGAGCGGCCGTTCTTAAAGCAAATCTTGCAACATAAAACTTTAAAGTCGTGGTTGGTTTATTCTTCATATAGTTCTATAAGTTATATAATTAAAAAGGAGTTATATTTTTTTGAAAAAACTACTTTCAAGTACAAACAAAAAAAAGAATTATAAACTTACGCGACCAAAACTGTCAACATTTTCATCTCCTATTCCACACATTTCAGTTGCAATGGATACACGAATTCTTGTAGGACATACTCTATTGTTATTAAATTCGCCATCGCTGTTTAATAAGAATTTTAAATTCCTAAATGATGTACTCATTCCGTTTGCTATCGCGGAATGGGTGAGTACATCCGAGCGACTAGATGTAAATAATGGACTTTCTGGCAACTCCCTTATTTTGATGGTGTTACGATAATATTTGATGAACTTAAAATTTCATTTTTTAGAGTTGTATCAACTAGAATAACTTTATTTCCGTAAAGCATACTTGATTTATAAATTTGATTTTCAATAACAAACCCGTTTTCAATTTCATCACTGGGTGTTATGTTAAAGACGTCCTTTAGTGAAATTGAAATTATATTTGAAGACCGAGTTGCATTCACTAAGCGAATAATTATCATCAGATAATCTCTAATATCAATGCACTAGGTCTTTGTAAGCTGTTGGTTTGCACACAAGTTTTCTGATGATTTTATGTGCGCCGAATCAAAATACGCTTTAACAATGTCCGTTGTTAAAACAGTAGCCTGTTTATATATTCGTATATTTTGGTCTCTTTTTTATTGATAAGCAAAGAGTTTTTTTGTTAATTAAACAAAGAGTCGATAATTTCTTCGTCGATAAAACCCTTTCTTATATTTTATGCTTTAATAATTTCTTAGTCGATAAAATCCTCTTCTGAAATTCTATTTTGCAAATTGACTCACTTTCTTTAGAGCAATGCTGTTTTAATAAGAGTTTTACTCGGTTGTTGGGGTGATAATTCGAGTGTCCTACGTAAAGGGAGTTCAACACCGTACTAGTTCGTTCCGTATTAATATTACACGTCAATTGTTCGTTATCTGATTGATCAGATTCATCGTCAGAGGTTTTTGAGGCTTTTTGAATTCGACCTTTCAGGGATAGATTTATAGGAGAGGGCGGGACAACATCTTTCAGGGTAGAGCTGATCCTCTATCGAATGGATGTATCACATGTGACGGCTGCTGTATGGTTTGTCTCTAATTAACGTTTTTCTGTAGTAGCCCTTCGCTTTTTTGCATTTGTTTTTTCAAGATTAGAGACAAACTATAGTGTTCTATCCGATTCTTTGTGCTGCATTGTACTTACCGTTAAATTTTCTATCGAAATCATGTATAATACATGGCATTTGAAATATTGACTATTTTCCTGAAGGTACCATCAGTTAAAAGTGGTCAAAAAATGATCAGGTAAAAGTGGTCAAAAAATGATCTTTGAGATTGCCATATGGTATACATCATTTTGATAGAAAATTTAACTGCGAGTTTAACGGCGCAAACCGTTTTGACGCTTGTTGCATAGTTTGTCTATAAATCGAGTTTTTGCGATGTTTCCTCCCTTCCCCCTTCCTCCTGGTTTTTTCGAAGTTTTTACCGAATTAAAGACAAACTGCACAGCGGCCGTGCAAAGCGTTTGCGTTGTTATACTCGTCGTTGAGTTCTCTGTCGACATGATGTACGATATCTTTTTACGTAAAACAAATAAAATCTTGGTTTAGGAACAGTTAAATGCTAGCGTTTATTCCTTTCAATTTTTTTTATTCGCGGGCTGCTCAAAGCTTGTCCACAGTTAAACAAATTTGGCTCCGTGTTTATGATTTACTTTGTTTATGTCTTCTATACGAATTTTTGGAGTTTATTATAAAAACAGAAAGTCAGGGTTAGAACACCTCGTTAGATTAAAAACCTAATATAACCTAAAAAATATATATATATTTTTAATTATAAGAGTTGTTTACGTCGTTAACAGAACAATATTTGTAATTTGAAATATAAATATATAGAATCTATAAACTTTACAAATAGCTATGCTATTAAAAACAAAAAGATTTAAAAACTAATATAATAAGTTAAATTGCTAATCTTTTAAAGCACAAATCCTTGTAAAAACGTAAACAAAACAGGTTTATTCAAATATAAGTAAATTAACAAAACACAGTTATTTTCCTTGAGTACTTCTTAGTGCTCTCATTATACTTCTAGCTTCTGCTACGAAGTTGCTGAAGTTTGAGTTTTTATTTTGTTTATACTTGTTGTGCATATTCTTAAGGATCCATCGAATGCCTTCCCATTCAATGTCGCTGTAAAGGTCTAACAAAA